GGAAAACATGTAAATGCGTTGATCCTGCGCCTGATCTCTCTTTGGTCATATCATATTACCGGACGGACTATGACAGTGAGGGAATAGAGTGTACCTGTGCTTGCTTGGATAGTCTCCGTTGAGACTGGTCGCCGTGGCCGAAATTCGGTATGGGGGACATTATTATTATTATTATTTCATTATTAGAACTAATTGAGGCTGGTGACGTAATTATTATATTATCAATCATCATCATTATAATCTTTCACAAGTTCAGTCTGAATATAGCTTTAACTTTTCTAAGTGGACGGTCGCCGTACAATTTCGTTTATTGTTTTCACGTCACATATATTAACGTTTACTATAAGATGTAAATTTTCAATATAGTGCGCAAGTCCTCGGTAGTATAGTGGTAAGTATCCCCGCCTGTCACGCGGGAGACCGGGGTTCGATTCCCCGCCGGGGAGTACTTTTTGTATTGAGTTTAAAATTGCTAACCTTATAAAAAAGTAAAAAACTTTGTACCTTGTAAAAATTACAATTATTTTGTATTTTAAATCACAAGTAAATATAAACCCATAGGAAATATCGGAACGGTTATGAATAGGGATTTGTCCTAGTTTTAGGGGGACCAGGTAGTGAGTCTGGGCCCTTAACCGGAGGCAGAACCCATTTTTGAAGAGGTATCTTAAAAAAAGTAAAATTATTCCTACCCTTGGCAAGTACCTACCTACATATGTATAAATTATCTGTAGGTTTGAAATATTTTAATTAAAGTATTCAGTAAAAATTTCAAATTTTACGAGATTTTTACTGATATAATATATTTAAAAAAAAATGGAGACTGACTTTCATCCCCAAAATGCCGATACCTAAAATATGCCGTTAGGGGCCATGCCACTGCAGCAGCCCCGTCGTTATTTACCGTTCGGTGTCTATCTTCATGGTCTCAATCAACGGCGAGTACATCACTGACCTTCGTTTGCCGACAATAATATGGCAGAATCGCTAGAAGACCTCAACAATATGCTCAATTACCTCAATAGTGTCTACCAACGGAATGGACAAGACAAAGGTCGTGTTAAAGGTTAATGTCACCAATGCAGATAGTAGGTAGTCGGGACTTGGGAGCACAACCGCGCTCGAAGTTTTTGACGAGTATGTCTATGACGAATCGTCCGAATAGGTAATCGACCGGAGATCGATCGACTAATTAAACTCGGTTAGGCAGCGTTCGGGATATTACGATACATCTACTCGTCACATTTATCTCAAAACTTGAAAACATAATAATTAAAAATTTGGTATATGAAGCACCAGCTTTCAAATAAAAAAAGAATCATCGAAATCGGTTCACCCAGTAAGAAGTAATGAGGTAACACACGTAAAAAAATATACAGTCGAATTGAGTACCGGCTCCTTTTTGAAGTCGGTAGAAAAATGTACAGCCAGTGCGTGTCATTGTGATGACTGATAACATAAGCATAAGAATCGGAGACGTGGTTAATTGCTAGCTGTATGAAGAAGCTCAAGGTCGCTCAGCGAGCTCTGCTTGGAGTTTCCCTGCGTGATATACTTCTAGATGAGAATATCCGCATTAGAACCCGAGTAACCGACATCGTCCAACTAATCAGTAATGGGGAAGTAAATTTTTCGGGAGGCAGCTTCGTACGGGTAAGCAAAGTGTGGAGCGGCCGCCACTAGATGGAGTGACGGCCTGTAAAGAGAGATGTAGGATGACGATGTATGCAGGTGGTTCAGATTGGAATGCTACAAAACACGGGAGGCCTAAACCTGTTCAGTTGTGGACTTGTGAAGGATTGTAACGATTATGACGATTAAAGAGAAAAATTTTATATACATGTAAACATTTTTTTCCATTTAAGCATATATACGGAAGAATTAAAGACAAATGTCCGGGGTTCTGAACTTCTGAAATAGATCGGCGACGGCAAATCAAGGTGATAGCAGTTAGTAGCTCTAGGCATGGACAATATAGTACATATTTCTTTTATTTTATAGTCTGTTGTTGACTGTGCTTGGCGCAGGCAGTAATGTCCCTGCTGCCAACTAACTACTGCCGGATTGACCACATTGAAGTGGCAAATTTATGTCGCTTTGTTATTCCAAAAAGATGTTGTTTTCAATATGATTTTTACTTTTCTTATCATCATCAAATGGAAGTGCCTATATTTTGCCTTTAGTAACTAATACATTAAATAATATAAATAACACATTTATTTATGTTTTTTTTTATAGGATAGAGTGACAAACGAGCACACAGTCCACCTGATGGTAAGTGGTTGCAGTGGCCCATAGACATCTACATCTATCCTCGTTTGCGAATCAAAATGCAGATGCGTTGTCACCCGTGATGACTGAGATGGAATGCCTCTTTTCCAGTAAAAAGGGTCTCCGGATCTCTACACTCACCATACGAAACACAGCAGTGTTCAGATGCTATTTTACGCTGGTATTCTGTGAGAGCGTGGTCCTCCCCGGTCGAGCCGATCCATTCGTGCTACAACTATACTACTACTATAGCTGCAGCATGGCTCTACCACGTACTTATGTTTAAATAATCAGATTTATAAAGTTATTTAAAAATCCTAACGTTTAATTGTTTAGTTTTTTCGTTATTTCATTTTAAAAGAGTAATAATTAAAAATTAATAAATAATAGATAATAGTGACATCTATCAAACTTATGAAAATTTATATTTTATTGAACTTAAAAACATATCAATTTTCATACGTTTGATACTATATCTGTATGTAAACTGATTAAAACTGGTCTGGCTGCACCTCAGAATCTGTGGCCTGCACTTATTGCAAAATTATCATTAAATCATTATTTCGTAAAATGGTGTTATTATATGATATTTATCACTGTTTTTTGACCATATCATGATCTAACTTAGCCAGATCAATGAATAGAGATCGTTTAACGATATTGCTATTTTATGATAATATTTATGGTCATATCGTCAAATAGTTTTTCACCGCTAGCGGCGCTAATAGCGTGTTTTTAACATCAACATCACTTTATGCCATTTTTATATAATAAATAAATGTTCACGACTTTGGGGTGGCTCTTGAGCCAGTCGCACCGAACCTTCAATAGCTGATATTACTAGATAGTATAATTTTGACTTTCATAGTTTTTATGTAATATAGCGCCCTCTATTTTCTGCTAAATAAACTAAAGATAAGTAACTGATAAAATTAAATTTTAGAATGCTACTGAATACTTATTCGTGCAGCATCAAAAATTATCACACTTAAAAATATCTAGGCCATTATCGGAATGATTTACCACATTTGGCAAAATGGCTAACAACACTGTTATACAAAACACGTGTGTTTTGTGTACACAGTATCCAGTACTGTGTACACAAAACTGAGATTAATAGAGAGAGACACCTAATATATTCAACTCTTTACTTGAATATATTGGATGTCTGTCGGCATAGGTTTCATTTTACCAACTTCGTATGTTATCACGTTATCTGATGTAAATAATTGAAAATTATGTGCACTGTGAGATTTTATCTCTATTTGATGGAATAGTTCGTGGCATCGTATGGTTTCTAAGTACTAGATAGATATGGTCAACAATCGCACAAAAGCTTTCTTCAATTTTCATGAATTTTATTTAAACAAATACGAGAGCCATGTAGCTCGCCGTGAAAATTCTTCATGGCATCGGGGTAAAACGTGTACGAGTTCTTTGAGAACAAATGAATCTGTTATGGGAAATTTTAAGTGCTGACTTACCACGTATCCGGTGAAGTGGTGAAGAATAACTTCGTGGCCAAACCTAAACGTCTGAGTAGTTAAAAAGTCGTGGATATGAGAAAACCGTTAATAAGCATTGAAGCAAGGTGCATACTCTTTTCTGCCCACAAAAACACTATAAGTAATGACGAGTCCTGTGCACAGTAGTGAGACGTATGTAAGCTGCTACATTCGTTTTTATATTTAGACCTTATAAGTATATCAGTCATTTATTGTTTCTCATTTAAGATTTTTGTATTTTTGAGTTTTCATATTATCAGACAAATCAGGATTTTTGTGACAGTCCTGGTTTCATAGCTCACATGAGATATGTAAATGAACAGGCTTTTGCGGAAAAATACTTTTAATATCGAAGATAGCAGATTTTACTTAAACAAAGATTTTATTTTACTTGTCAAAGGCGGTAAACAAACTGATCCGAACGTAAATTTCATAGTACACAAGCATTATTATATACTTTTAAATATATGTTAATTGCAATTTGAAGTGTCGATTTCCCAAGTTCTCGGCGGTGAAAGATAACCCTGCATATCTGAGAAGTTCCCCAGTTTTTTTGTTTGAATGGGGCAATTTTGTGAAACACAGCAACATTGAGCTGCTATTTTACGCTAGTATTCTGTAACACCGCGGTCCTTCCTCGGTCGAGTTAACCCATTAGTGCTACAACCATAATATAGCTGCAACATGGCTCTATGAGTACCACTTTTAAATATGTATATAATAAGTATTTCACCAAGAGGCTACAAATTGAAAGTATTATAGCATATTAAGAAAATTATAAAGTTAAGTCACTAATATCATTTGTATGTAATAGTTTGTACTTAATGTAGGCAATAGGTATCTCCAACTTCCAAAAAAATTAAAACGTTATGCAAGTATCATTGCAATCAATGAGGACTATCTACTGAGGATAATCTTACGCTCACCTGATGTCTCGCTTGTTGGGACTGATGTCATTTCATTTATCACGGAAAGATTCCACCCGCAGTCATCATAGGAAAAGTTGAGTTTTAAATCAAGCGTCAGTAGCCTAATGGCAGGGCGCGGACCGCGAACTCGAAAGGTCGTGGGTTCGTATCCGTCATTCGATTACTGTCGTGAACCACTTCTAACACAAGCATTTTAAGCTTACCAGAAGTGATTAAAGGGAATATTAGTAATGTTTAATATCGTTACTAGTATTTAAAAAAAAAAAAACAATATACTAAACAAAATAATGCCTCAGTGATGTGTTCTTTAATTTTTCTATTTTCAGGAATATCCGTAGTTTAGTTTACCCATTTCTAATCTAAATTATAACTAATAAAAAAAAAACTAAAAATATAAAATATATAACTAATATTTCAGAAACATTATTCTATACACTTTTCAAATCAGAAAAAAGATTCAAATCAATCATTTTAATCTAATTGTCTGTCAAATGTCACACATTCCAAGGTGGAGCCGCTCTGGTGACAGAAAGATTTGTAGATGCCCTCAATGCTGCACCACAGAGTACAGTGTGCTGAACATAGGCCCCTCAGCGTTCTCAATAGTCTTTGGCTGCCACAATCCAGAAATGATGATCCTGAGCTCCCGAGCGTAATATAGGTGCAGGTTATATTAAATTCGCTTTAATGTGTACAATAAAACAACATATCCATTTATAATATTTTAATACAAAATTTCATTAAAAAAATCTTTATAATCAATAATAAATCTCTCGTCCTTTGGTAGATAATTTTTAATTTTAAAATCAAATTTAAAACCAATTATCTAAATTATCCGACTCGGTAAAAATATAAATAATAAATAAAATAATAGCGTATAATGCGTACATACAAAACTTACTAACAAAATAGAATAACGCGACGCGATATAGTAAATTATAAAAGTTAAATTGTAAAACATAAAAGCATAGTATTCGAAAATTAAATAGGCACGTTAACATTAGGAGAGGTTACAGTTATGGCACAGAGGAACTATCGGGAGCGTGGCGCGAGCGCTCATTATTCTTTGGGCTTCTTTTCTTTCTTGCGCGGCGGCGGAACGGGCGCATCGCCGCTCGTAGCGCTATCCTTCTTGAGCACCTTCTTCACGACTTTCTTCTTAGGCGCTTCGACCGACGCCTTAGGATCAGTCGTCGTCGGGGACGCGGGCATCGGCTTATCCGAAATAGAAGATTCTATCTGGGCCGCAATAGTAGATTTCTCTTTTGCAGATTTGACCCCGATCTGGGACAGCGACACTGAGCCTATAGGCGGTGTCGGCACTTTGGGTTCTTCGACGGAGAGCCGTTTCTCTTGTTTCGGTTGCGCAGGTGAGGCTGGGGTTTGAGGCGATGGCGATGTTACAGTGGGCGTGCGCAGTTCGCTGGCTATAATGGACTGCGCGAGTGTGTCCGCGTCTTCTAGCTCGCTATCGGGGGTGGGGAGTGGGTCGGCGGCGACGGGGGGGCAGAGGTGCAGCTTCCCCACGGGTCTGCGGCGCTCTTCCGCTACACAACCAATTTATTCCCGCCTTATTCTCTCGTTTTGATTAGACTTGGAGTTAGTATCGCGGTCACATTAGAGAGCAAGCTCGGTTAGGGCCTGGAACAAAGTCGAGGGAAAACAGAGCTACATGGTTAACTTGAAACGATGCGAGCGGAAAGTTAGAACAGTGTCAGTTAGCCGAGATCCGAAGGTCGATATCATTACAAGGACATTACAGCAAAATGTGTTCGTGTAATTTTTATTTTTCATTAATTTAGAATCTATATCTAAATTATGTATTAGGTAAATTAATTAATATTAGCAGTGTAAAGTGAAAATGCACGGGAAAGACAAACATTACATTTTAAGCAATAATGTTCCTTGCAATGAGTGAAAAATCATGAAAAGCAAAAAAAAAAGATTCGAGGTTATGGCAGTTTTACTAACAAAATTGTAAGAACCTCTGTGATTTAGGAAGTGAATGCAGTGATCTCTGCTCTGATAACTGCGATAGCAAAGAGCATGGATGACTGCGGGGTGAAATATCGTTGATCAATTATGTGGATTAGTTCTTAATACTTCACACAAATAGCATCGTCATTTGCCATAGTTGATCAAACGTACCTACATATTACAACCACTTGGACGCAACCCAAATTGTACAAAATCACCTAAATTTGTATATATTTATCAAGGGTATTGGTTTAAATCTAGCTTCTAAATAACGACGATGTATGAAAATCTACAATAAGGACGATGTGATTCAGAATAACTACGAGTAACATAATTTAACGAAGAATTCATCAAGTGTTTTAAAGGATAGTTGTGTTGAGTCCAAGTGAAATATTGTTATTACCTTTTCTATCAAAGCCGCGTCTCTTGCGCTGCCTCCTCGGTAGCTGGGTGAAATAACAACGAACTTTGAAAGGTATGCTCAGTAAATTAACATAAAAACCAAACAGCACAAAACGGCACAAATAAAAAAAAACATGTGTACACATCTTCGCTCTACAAGTTTGATTAGTTAAAGTTCAGAGGTCCGCAATCGTTTCTTTGCAGAGCAAACGATAATCTATCAAATATTAGTACAAGTCTGACAGAAAAAAAAAACTGCAAAATGAATTCGGTGAGAACTGAATGCAAAGCCGTTCCAAAATCGGCGGGCGAGATTAAGTTGTTTAATTTTTACTTACATTTAGCAGCAGGCTCTGTGGGTATTTCTTCTTTAGATGGCGTGTTTGCTAATGGAGGACTATCTGTAGCACTCGTAACAGGTACATCTTCAGGCTGAGACGGTTTGTCTTCAGTTTTAGTTGACTCTTCAATTGCAGGACTTGCTGGGGCTTCAGCGGCCACAGCGGGTGATTTTGGATCTGCTGCAGAAGTTTCAACCTGAACAGATTCAGCAAGCACAGATTTAGGACCTTGTTTAGGCGCTTCAGGTTCTGGTGGTTTAACACTCTCGTCAGATTTCTCTTTTGGGGGCTCCACGGTCTTCTCCGATGCAGCTACAATGGTTGTAGTCTCAGACTTAGTTTCCTTAAGACTCTCGGCATCACTGAAAGCTTCAATCACTGGCTTAGGTATTTCACTTGTTGGAGTAGCAGAATCAGTGGATGCGGCTACTTCAGCAAGAACTGCCTCTACGACTGGCACTGGTATTTCCACTGGTGAATCTTCAGGAACCTTAGAAATATCTTTTGATATGTCGCATTTCGAAAGAGGAGCTTCAATGGAAGTAGAAGTCTCTTCGGAGATGGGAGCTACGGATGTAGCTTCTATGGACGAAGTTTTAACGTCAGCAGGCGCTTCTGGAGAGATAGACTTGGTGACTGAAGCTGCAACATTTATTGGCGCTGCTTCTGCAGGTTGTTTTATTGCTTCCAAAGACACAGTACTTTCTGATGCAGCTGTTATATCTGAAGTAACAGGCCTATCTACTGGAATAGAAGGTTGTGTTGGTGCAGACGATTCAGCAGGGGTTTTCTCTTTACTAGAATCATCTTTAGTTTCTATTGGCTGTTCATCAGTAGTTGGCAAAAAGGCGTCAGTTACAACAGCCTTTGGTTGATCATCAGACTCTTTTGCAGATGGGAGCTCTTCTGGTGGCGGAGTGGGCAGTTTTTGAACTGGGGCCGGAGCTTGGCTCAGGGTTTGCGAAATCTTCGCCCAGATATTAGCGAATGAATCAGCACCCATATAATCGATACTGCCTGCTTCCCATCCTTGCCGTCGAGTTAGCTCATCGATTGCCTCCTGTTGCATTGCAACCGCATCGGGTGAAACTCGCGCTAAATTACCCGCAACACCACTCTGTAAAGTAATACGATAACTGTATTCAATTTTGTTTTTTCGTACTTTACTTAAATATGAATAACATAAAATAATTACGAAATTTTATAGAAAAAACATAATATTGTTAATAATTGTTTTAGTTATAGATAATTACGTGCATATTGGTTTAAAAGTACGGCATGCAAGCTACAGTTAGGGTAGTGTCAATATCAATGCAAACAGTAAATATTATGAAAAAACAAAACGATTCTAAATACTTCTTAGGTTCTAGGTACGTGAAAAACTATACGAACCGATATATTACCCGGTTAAATAGAACTTCGGAAAGATAACTTACATGATACTGTTCGTCACTCTCTACAAAAGTTTCCTCTGATGACAAAAACTCAGATATCGCATCAAAGAAAATTGGGCTTTCCGAAGGTGACAACGGTGGCGACGGAGATGGTGTCGGTGGAATTTCGTGCGTGCATATCTTGCGTCCACGTGAGTCTATGGTCATTCGGTGCCTCAAATAAAAACCATCGTAAGGATGCCTTGGAATTATGAAATCTTCCATTTCAGATTCCGTTGCAAAACCATTGATTTTTTCTTGAGTGTCCGATACTGGTAAGCTTTTTAATTTTTGCTTTTGACAGTTGTTTTCTTTTTCATGATCAAAATGTACACAATAAACATATTCCACTCTGTTTTTTACAGGATAGATAAATTTTTCTGTATTATTTTGTACATGGATTGTTAGTTTATTTTGATCAATTTCTGCCTCGTAATTATGTACCTGTTCATCATTTTTGTGTATGTTGTACAAATTATTGTTATGATTAATGTCTTTATTGTGATTTTCTTCTTGACTAGAATTATTCCCTTCATATTTATCTAGTGTTATTGTAGTATGTTCGTGATTATTGTTGCCATAGAATTCTAACTGTGGTGAGTAGTGCTCTTGAAATAGTGAGGGTTCACGCTGATTGTTAAATTGTGATAGAAGTATGTCAGAGTGTTGTGATGACTGATACTCACGATTACCGTAGCCTTGATGCTCTGATGATTTATTGTGATCGTTCGAATCATTCGAATGATGTATACTTTGTTGGTCAAAGCTATAACTAGAGGGTGATTCTATTTGTTTGTTACTGTAATCATAATAATCCCTGTGCTGAACTTCTTGGTGGTGTTGGTTTTCATAATAATCATGATGGTGATAATGTTGCGTATTGTTTGACCAAGGCCAGGTGATCTGTGTGCCATGTTCGTGAGCTATTTCTGTATTATGTGCTTCTATGTGTTGATTATCCATGTGAAAAGTTTCAATGTGATATGTTTCATGGTGATTTATTTCATTGTGATGTGATCCATAGTACTGTGTGTCAGTGTATTGCGGTTCCGTGTGATTTTGAATTTGCTGTACACACGAAGGTTCCCAGATATGTTTTCTAATATCCTGTTGTTTATCTGTCGCCTGTACATAAGAACAGGTGCTTTTTGCCTCGTCTGCTATAGCTGGAATTTGGCCTCGATAAATATCCCAAGGATCATGAAATTGAGACATGTCTATCGTGGGCACAATCACTTCTGTCTGTGTGGTTTGAGCGTCTGGGCGATGCCAGTGAAATTCCGAATCCGGGCTTAGTACCGGTTTATAATGGTTGTAATCTGATCTTGGCTCAATATGGAAGAAGGTCTCTTGTGAGGGCACTATCGCCGTGGGGATGTCTTCAACCTCAACCTATCGGTTGGAGTGATAAGGCTCAGTGGAACAGCATGCAAATAATCACTTGAACTAAGCTTTATGCAAATTAATTTAGTCTTTATATAATGCAAAAAGCTTTGTTCAAGTCATTATTATTAAAAAACACACACACAATTTGTCAGCACATAAACATAGGTACAAGTGATTTATATTAAATAAAAAAAATATCACGCAACAAAATAAACGTATTTTAAATTATAATTACATCATGTATGTTTATGCAGCCAACACGGTGAATTTTCACCAAAATACCAACACCATCTACTTCATCCCAAATATTAATTATTACCAATATCCCGTGCAAAAGCGAAAAGAAAAATCGGAAGTTAGAAAATGTTAGTATTTTGGAGAAATGTTTAGATTATTAATGCACTAGCGTTGTAGTGATTTATAAAAGAAAAATGTGAAAAATAGCAGAACGGTGCATAAGCTTATTTGCAAGCGTGTTTAGGACCTTAGTCTTTATATTTACAGAGCAGCAAAAACAATAGGTTTTTAGGAAAAATTTTCATTCTAGAAATTGAAACGAACGCAAGAAATAACAACCGTAATTTGCGATGCTTTTATTTTATACAAAATTCTCACCTCTGTAATATTTATTTCCTGTTGTGAATGCTTGGAAGACATGTTGTATTAATGAGATTGTAACGGATTATGAATCTTAATATATAGATTTCATTAATCATCATCGCATTGTCGAGACTGTGGTTTTCGAGAGACCGCAGAAAATGGGTGTCAATGTGGTTATATGATAACTGATATTATATACCTCAAGAATTGGGATCATGACTCATTGTTGCAATGATTGAAATAATATCATTTGAAGGATAAGTGTAATATATGGCGTTACATAATACGTTTCAAATTTCGATAGAAATAGATTTAATATATACGATTGCTATAGTTTTAACTAGCTAGCTTTTCATAGTCTACCACAATTGTAGCAACGTTAAATAACTTCGCAATTTCAATGTATGTATTTTAACTTAAATTAAACACAAGTTTATTGCAAAATAAATTATAAATATTGTTGCTTACCATAGAGGGATCGAGTTGAGTGTGGACTTGTGAAACAAATAAGTCCCACCACAGTTGGAGAAATTCGCGCAAATGTTCCGGTGCGTCCACATTACGAGATTCCCAATTGAAATGTTGTAGCCAAGGCTTGGCCGCGCCGATGAAATGAATAATTTTAAGGTTCTGCCCATATCTAAAACAAAAAGGAAACGTTTATCATTTAGTTGAGACGGAATCATTTTGAAAAAGTTCTACATATTTGTACAAATATTATAACGTGCTGTTTGGTTAAAGGGGTTGGGGGTTACGGGGTAATATAAAATGAAGCAGCTATCTTCTTACTTTTCGAAGCAATATAATGGGTTCTTAATTGTCTTCAATCAATTGTTAATTTATAAAGATCAATAACTTTTAAACACTATAAGAAATAATGGTGACACAACTCGGAAGAATACTTGTTTCTATTTTCATACTTACTTACTTACTTACTTACTTATCTTCACGCACAATCCCTGACGGGGTAGCCAGAGAGAACAGATCGCCAAGTGTCACGATCCTTACATATCTCTTTCGCTTCTTTCAGATTCATTATCTTCTTCATACATGCACGTCTAGGTATCCGAGTACTCTTGACCCTACCCTCTTCGAGCAATTTGCTCACATGGTCTTCGAAAGTTAGTCTCGGTCTACCTTGACACCTTTTAATATTAACTTTCGCGCTATATATTTTCTTCACCATTCGGTCTTCACTCATTCGCTCAACGTGCCCAAACCACCGAAGCACGCCCTTATCAATTTTTGTGATAAGGTCATCTTTCAAACCTGCCATATTGCGAATCTCTTCGTTTCGCTTTCGGTCGGCCATAGTAACGCCGCACATTTTACGAAGAGATCGCATCTCCACTGCATTCAACTTACTTTTATGCTTCTTCTGGCATACCCAGGTTTCGCTGCCATATAACAAAGTCGGTACCAACACTGCGTTATGTATTGCAAGGCGTGCACTCTTCGCTACGCCTTGCCTTTTGACTAACGCAGTCAGGGCACCATTGACTTTGTTCCCGGCAGCGACACGCCTGTCCACATCTAAATCACATCTTCCATCCCGGCTAAAAGCACTCCCCAAGTATACAATTTCATTTACCTGTTCTAGACATTCCTGATTTACCCATATTTCACACTTCGTTCTCTCTTCGTCCCTTTCAAATCTCTCAAAAAAATTCAAAATCTATTTTCATATGATCTAATATGCTGCTATTATAATACAGATAATAGTTTAATAGCTAAGCCGCGATAGACCAATCATTCGTATAAATCGCGATAACAATAGATCATTCAAAAACTAGTCTTCAAAATGTCTTGCCGCCAGGTATTACTCTCACTCTGCGAAACATCCTATTTATTTATTTATTCTTTATTGCACCAAATATTTGTACAAAAGGCAAATATTTGTACTATCTATCTATTTACCTATAGAGAGTAGGTATCTTTTAAACTCACAATTTTCAATGCTTCATTTTTAATATAGGTATAATTAATTATAAAATTTCATAACTAGATAATATATGAGAATACATAATTCTAATATAATGCAACTCATATACCGATTAAAAAAAAATTAAAATACATTTATCGTTGTACGCTGTGTGTATTTCCATAAAATAGTTTATTGATGTCGAAAAAATACTACGTTCGTACAGTAGGTGGCGTCTTACATATTTCTTACGCGATATATTGTAGCGAGTCGGCGCGGCACACCAAATGCTCATGGTCGTTCGCATGGAGTAGCCCCTTAAATAATGTAAGCAAAAATCGACTACAATACGAAAATAACTTACTGTTTAAAAGCAGGCAAATATGAATAAAAGGCTGCGGATGTAACATTATACAGGAATGGAAGGTGTTTGTTGATGTCGCCGTGCGCCCAGTCGGAGAAGTAAGAGTTCAGCAGCCCCTGATCGCCACCTAACAGAAAACATAGCTTTTTTAAATGCATAAATAAATGTAACGGCCATAAAAATCTTTACGCATATTTGCCAACCGTCCTGTCTAGCGTGAACAGTATCATAAAAACTAAATAACGCATGCTAACTGGTGCATTTTTGAAGAGACCTTTGCTAGACGGGACGAGACTACTGCTGTTTCACGCTGGTGTTCTGTGTGATGGTGGTCCTCCCCCGCTTGAGCTGACCCATTTGTGCTGCAACTGTAATATAGTTGGCATGGCTCTACCATGTACGAGGGTGACACTGAAAGTTCTTAGAAAATCAAAAACTGAACGAACTAGCAAGTTTATTAGTTTTATTATATATTTTAAAAAAGGTCCATTTACATCAATACATCGCTACATCCGATGGAACCACTGAGAAATGCTTTTCTCAGTGGTTCCAAGAGCACAGTGCTCTTTGCCCTCTCGTCCTTAGGGGTCCCTTCGACGGCATTTTGCTTACTCGGCGTCCATAAAAGGTTTTCCTCGAAGTTTTTCTTTTATTTTTGGAAATAAATAAAAATCGCAAGGTGTGGTTGGGGCTACAGGGCGGGTGACCCAGTAATTCCACGTCTGACGTCGCCAAGTAGTCGATTGTTTTGCTTGGTGGTGTGTGACAAGGCGTTGCCGTGGTGAAGTAGGATCCTACTGAGAGGTCGTTTTTCCCGAACTTTTTCCAAGACAAGTGGCAAATAATTGTTAGTGTAACACTCTGCAGTAACTGTTTTTCGATCCTCTAAAACAATTGTTTCGTAATGACCTGTCCTTCTGAAGAACGAGGCCACCTTCTTTTTTCCCACGCTTCGACCTCTCTTCACTTTAGTTGTCAACTCCTCGGAAGGAAACACCCAGACAGCAGACTCTCTCATACTCTTAGTTTCAGGATCATAACAATAAATCCAGTTTTCGTCATCCGTAAGTATGTCGAACACAGCATTTGAGTTACCTCCGTTAAATCTTTGAACCATTTCACGACACCAATCAACACGACGGAGTTTTTGGGGCTCTGTCAAATTATGAGGTATCTACCGGGCACAAAGCTTCCTGAACGCTAAATGTTCATGGAGGATTTTATGCACTTGACTCATACCGATGCCTAAGCTTGTCCGACTCTGCTGATAAGTCACTCTTTTGTCGGTCTCTATCATACGCCACACAACACTGATGTTATCTTCAGTCAGTTCAGTTATTAGTGCGACCACGTTTAAACTCATTAAACCAGCTGTAAACAGTGGCACGAGATGGAGCTTCATCGTGAAAGGTCTATCATAACTTTCTTGTTGACTTAAATGACATCCAAAAGTCATCAAAAATCATTGTACGAAAATTTTCTCGCGTTAAATTCATGCTGACATGACACAGACAATTTTCAATTTGCCGCCAAATCGTAAACAAATGACAAATTAATAAAATAGGCACATACACAATAATATTGGCAAAGAGTTCCATTTTCGAAATTTGAACTTATTTTTTATTATATCGTTTACAAGTGGCCAGTTCTGTTAGAACTTTCAGTGTCGCTCTCGTATGAAACGTCTGCTAATTTACGGAATATTCGTCGAATAGACACTTACAGGTGGCGCAGGTTGAGCAAAATGTCGCGCTAGTCTTTATTTGTGCGGTTTTCAGAAGCTATCTACTTTTTATTTAAAAGATATATCAACAAATAAAAAACACATTATATTTCTACATAATCTTGATTCCATAAAAGCTATATCCAATTTTTTTTAAACTAATAAATATTAATATAATCTCCTTACAACAAAACCACATAAATGTGAAATTATTATTGATAACATGGATCTCCTCGTAAAGTAAGTATTATTTTATTTTGCGATTTACACCAATGGATAGACAATTTATTAATAAACATTTCTATAGTAAATTTTTTTTCAAAAGACCAAAATTTGATTTTATTAAGAAATTATTTTAAAATCTGGGCATATTCACTGCTCACGGGCTTGCTAGAGTCAGTGAGCCCTGAGCTCTTCGACGCGAAGCCCGTGTCGTTAGAGCGTCGACCAGCGCCGCATACACTCACGTAATATCAGTCGATAAATAATATTACTTATTAGGTTATTTATAGGTAGTATTATTTGTTTGTTTTGGGTATAATTTTTCGTATTAGTTATACATATATTTGTTGTGTTTTTTACTGCGCGATGAAGCTTTTTGCGTGTATTTTCTTTGAAGTAAATGCAAATAAAAAAATGAAGCACCATTGGCATGTAAGGTTCGAATCCATAATTAAAATTTCGATAAATATTATAATTTACACTATAAAAGGCTAATTCAATATTATCACCCAACCACAATATCTTATTATGTACAGTACTACCTCGTTGGTCTCGTGGTTGTAGTAGTGCGACTGCTGATCATTAGGTCCCGGGATCGAATCCTGGGTCCTAATGATCAGCAGATCAGGCCCTGTCAGTTATGAGTTTTTCATTTATGTTCTAAGTTATAATTAGTATTACTAAGTTATAGTTTTTTGCTAAAATATAGTATATTATTTATTGCTTGTTTTTTCTTCTTTTTCAAAAAATAATTGAGTACATAAGGTGTTCTATACTTATACTTCGGTAAAAAGTATCTAAGTAGGTACTAATATACCTACTTTTTACTACTAAAAATTTTTAAAACTAAATTTAACTAAAAAGACTAAACTGACCATTTATTTTTTAACTCAAAACAGGACATGGGTTTATTTATACTCTAAAAACTATAACTTTATACAATTAGTGTTCACTGTAAAATTATATTCGGTATAGACGGTAATTATTAAATGCAACATATTTTTCTTAATTATTAATTACATTTGTCAGTGGATTAAATTTTCTTTAATAAAGTTAGTGATGATTTTAAATAAAAATAAAATTCTGCTCAAGTTTTTTTATTGTTATCTTTGTTAACAACATCGCCTTTAGAACTCTGGAACCGTAAGTGTTTCTTTCAGACGTCCACAATTTATTCAAAATAAAAAAAAAATACTCTTTCTACCGGAGCATTCGTACCAGGTAGACATAAAATATATTCGATTAAAAAAAATTATGTTGAAGATTGTTGACTTTGAATACTTCCATCCAACGAGTTACGGGACAATTTTGTGTCCCGGAGCTTTGTTTGGGGACAATGGGACAGGTGACCGAGAAAAGGGACAGTCCCGTTCAAAACGGGACGTGTGGTCACTTTAGCTATAACCCGGCGACGGCTCCGTGGGGCAGTGGCTTAGCAATTAGTTGTTGCGCTGGGGGCCGCGGGTTCGAATCCCGCACGGAACAAGTATTTGTATGGCTTACAAATAATTGTTCCGGGTCTGGATGTTTGTCCTTGTGCAATTTATGTTTGTAAACTGCCTCCACGACATAGGAGAAAATCCTAGTGTGGGGGTAACGTTTTTTTACAATTGAAATTGAAAGATTGAACCCTTATACTTCTTGTTGATTTTTGTATTAGTAGTTAGGTATATTACTTTTCAATACGTGATACGTAAAAATTAACAATAATCAAAAACACATCTACGAAACATCCTATTTATTTATTTATTATTTATTGCACCAAATATTTGTACAAAAGGCGAGCTATCTATTTATTTACCTATAGTGAATAGGTATCTTTTAAACTCATAATTTTCAATGCTTCATTTTTAATATATAATTAATTATAAAATTTCATAATTAGATAATATATGAAAATACATAATTCTAATATAATGCAACTAATATACCGAATAAAAAAATTAAAATACATTTATCGTTGTACGCTGTGTGCAAAGATATTTTATGACCTATAAAACATCTTTGGCTGTGTGTATTTCCATAAATTAGTTCATTGATGTTGAAAAAATAATACTACGTTCGTACCTACAATAGGTGGTGGCGTCGTACATATTTCAAATAAGCAATATATTGAGGCGAGCGGCGTGCCGCCGGTAAAATGCTCAAGGTCGTTCGCATGGAGTAGCCCCTTAAATAAAGCTTGTCTATACAAATAAATAAAATTGAAGTGTCTGTTTGTAATGTCAAAATTACAGTTTTTTACTAAATGCATTTGAAAGTAAATACAATACCTATAACTAAAATACAATTTTTAAAATTTTTGTCTGTCTGTCTGTCTGTCTGTCTGTTTGTTCCGGCTAATCTCCGATACGGCTGGACCGATTTTGACGGGACTTTGACTGGCAAATAGCTGATTTCATAAGGAGTAACTTAGGCTACTTTTATTTTAGAAAAAGAATCAGGGTTCTGCGCAGAAACATAAAAACCCTAACACGCGAACGAAGTCGCGGGGAACAGCTAGTATAATATAAATCACATTGATTATGAATCATGACGGTTCGATTTCAAAGTATTTTTATTTATTTATTTATTTAATTTAATCTTTATTGTTAACACCTTAATAACTAGTGTAACAAAGGGCGGACTTAATGCTTAACGGCATTCTGTGCCAGTCAATCCGTTTTATGAAGTATTAAACGAAATCAAGCTGTCTGTTACAGTTTGTATGTGTGTGTGAACTGTATGTGCATGAGGCAGAACGTTACGACTTTGACCTTGTATTGTAAACTTCGTACGATAGTATTGAGTGATCTATTGATCAGTATATTAATGTTAGTAATAACTCTTCAATTGCAGTGCCAATACTAGAACTAGAACAAGCATATGTATACTGTTATAAAGTAAATACTAAATATAGTCCACATCATCTTACTTACCATCGAAACTGCCGCGCTCTTGAGCAAATGTGATCAAACTGCTGTAAGTTTCCGCTGAGGGTCTGAAGACGAACACACCCGAGTTGAAGCAGTCGGGCCAGCCAACGTCGGGGGCGGCCGAGAGTTCCTTCCGATCGAATAGTTCGTCACAGTTTTGGACCACCTAGAGAAGAAATACTAGTAAATACGCTATGCATATGATAAACATGTATTTGTGTAATCATTTTAACTAGAGGTGCAGCAGGGAAGGACACCACTCGCACACAATGCTAGCGTTAAAATTGCAGCATAATGTGCATGGTGTCGTGTGTGTATGCTGTCGTGGTTTATACGGTGTTTGTAAAGAACCAAAGTCCCTTTTTCTGGTAAAGAGGCATTACATCTAAGTTTTTAGGTGTGACAACATATCTTTTTCATTCTTATTCGAACACAGATGATGGGCCATAGCATTTACACTTACCATCAGGTGGCCCGTTTGTCAGACTTACTCACAATAAAAAAATAAAGTTTTTAAAAACTGTATATTAGTGTTTTTTTTTAAAAAAAAACGTTACCCCCACACTAGGATTTTCTCCTGTGTCGTGGAGGTAGTTTACAAACATAAATTGCACAAGGACAAACATCCAGACCCGGAACAATTATTTGTAGGCCATACAAATACTTGTTCCGTGCGGGATTCGAACCCGCGGCCCCCAGCGCAACAACTGATTGCTAAGCCACTCGAACGTAGAAGAATGGGATTAATGTGCACTTTACATCTTGATAATCGCAATGGCCGCCGTATAATGCCTACACTCAGACAGTCAAATAAATGCATTATTCAAATATTACAGATGCATTATATCTATTATTATTCAGTTTCAATTTAAATAATCGCAGTGGCCGCTACTCCTATAAAATTATGCCTACACTCAGACAGTGAAATATGAATTATTCAAATATTACACAATGCGTCATATTATATATCATTATTCAGTTTCAATTTAAATAAAACTGTAAAAAGGAAAATTCCAGAAATGAATTAGTACCTATAATGTCTAGAACGCTAGAAGTATCTAACACCTGTGCAAAAACTTTATTATTTAAAAAATACATTAAATTAATAGTGTACAGCATGCACCTAATACATGATTCATTAATATAACGATGAATTGAAACATTTATAGGCAAACAAATGTCAATAAATTGGATTAGAAAGCACATCCTACATGCTCTAATTCAATTTAGCAACCTTGAGCATGCTCACTGCGTGTCTGTGATCTAACAAATCCAATTTGTCGTATTTTTTCCAAACACATTTCGCTCCGACGCGACGATTTAATAGAAGCCGTATTTGCAAGTCTAAACGCAGACATTATGAATATAGTATTAATTATGTATTCAGTACTTTTTATCTGTGGATAAAGTTTTTATTTGACACAATAACCTGTGAGTGATAAAGATGCGTGGTATGACTAGATTATTATGTATATTAGAGAGTGGTATGTGAATGGAAACCATCGACACGCTATCACTGTGTTTATTACTGGCGTGTATGTTTATTATTTTAAGTTTTTGTGGCGGTACAGTTACATAACTAAATGTTTCATGAATCATGAGTGCAATATTAAATCAACAGGCACTTCGCATATCAGGAATTTCAATAATTCACAACGGTTACAGTCATCCTTTATATTTGAAAGAAAAACGCAGAAAGAAAGTGTATTATGAAATTGGAGCACATCCAAAACTGTCGGGAAGAAATATTTGGGGCACGGTTGTACGTCTCGTGTTACTGAGCGGACGGTCACATCCGGTAACATTGACTTTCTTATCGTGTAAACATCTGTTAATCGAAATAGTTTTAACGACTTTCACATAGAGTCGTTAATCGAGTATTAAAAAATCTTATAGTTTAGACGTCCGCTGCAGCGCAAATTATATTACTCTCGCGTTTGGTTGAATCCGAATGATTGGATCGGAGCAAGCAGTAAACAGTTTCTGAAAGGAAGATCAATCAAAATAAACAATTTTTATTAGCGAGCCGTATTACAACTGTTGCTATTCAATAATTGATGACGGTTATTCTCGTAGTAATGTTTATCGCACTCCCAACATGATAGCGTCACTTCATATAGCGTGGTAAACTATCAATGTCACAAAACTATTTTTAATTTTTTTTTTTGTGATTGTAGTGACAAATATTATCGCCTATTACCTCATAGTCACTCATAATATGTATGTTCTTACTCTAGTCCTATGGTTCATTACTGTTTTCTTCCAAACCACAGAACTAGAATGACATTAGTCACATCTCTACATAGTATTAAAAACAAAGTCGCTTCCCGCCGTCTGTAGGCTTAGATCTTTTAAAATTGAAACTAAGCAACGGCTTTTGATGCGGTTTTCATCAATAGGCAGAATGATCCAAGAGGAAGGTTTATATGTTTAATACATGCATATTACATATTATATAATTCTTCTATCCGTGTGTACGACTGAACTCCTCCTTTTTCTGAATGTAAATGTGAATGAATGGACTGATTTTGATGAAATTTTGTGTGTGTGTGATTAAGTTATTAGAGGTGGCGTTGTTGTCGAAATCTAGAAATCAACCGAGCAAAGCCGTGGCGAAACACTAGTTATATATAATAGGTGAATATTAAAAAGTGTCCTTGCATTTATATAGGTATCAATTAAGTGGCATAAACATGTATATAAAATAGTCGATACGGTATTTCATTAAGTATTGTGCATCCACGATAAGTCTTTATCAACGTATTCGAATACGGAGACTATCACAAATATTTGACATTTTAAAAGCCAGAGAATAATAACATATTTGTCAAAAGAAATATGTTTCCTTCTTCATCAACCCGTCTCAAAGCGCTTCTTCAAAATCCAATACTATACATAGACCTCTCCTGTCATGGGGGGGGGGGGTTTATCTATACAAATAAATAAAATTGAAGTGTCTGTTTATAATGTCAAAATTACAGCTTTTTACTAAATGCATATGAAAGTATATACGGTACTAATAACAAAAATACAATTTTTAAAGTTTTTGTCTGTCTGTCTGTTTGTTCCGGCTAATCTCCGAAACGGCTGGACCGATTTTGACGGGATTTTCACTGACAGATAGCTGATTGTCAACGAGTAACTTAGGCTACTTTTATTTCAGAAAAATAATTAGGGTTCCGCGCAAAAAAAATTAAAACCCCAAAAAACACGCGGGCGAAGTCGCAGGGAACAGCTAGTTTGCTATAAGCACCAAGCGAATTTGCGATCGCAGAACAGATGTCTCGCAAATTTAACGTTGCTTACCGTCACAATTTTGGTAATTTTACATCTATCATTAACGGGACGTTTATGCCTCTATCTATCGGAGGCTATAAAGATTTTGTGGCATTTCCCATAATTACCTCTAATGAAACCCACGGGCTGAAAATGGGGTAGATAGATTTTTTTACTTAACCACCAAACGGCACTAAATATTGCATACTTTATAATGTCATTTACAATTAACTCTATATTAAATACAGTGGATATTTTGTACAATGATGAAAACAACATAAGATGTTCTTCCATACAAGGTGCGATAACATAATAGCTTTTCTTAAGAGAGTTTAGCTCTCGAAAACACGCTGGATTATCAAGTTCTTCAGCTCAAGACTGTGGCAATTAGTTTCCGCTTTCCGGATGGATTTTCTGAGAAATCTCATCAGCCGCTCGTCTGATATCTCCCAGCTTGACCAGCAGAGTACTATATGTGCAGTTGTGATTTACATTGTACAAAAGTTGATTCTCCTTACACCCTAAGTTACATGAATAAGTAACTAACTATAAACCCTTTGAATATAGGTAATAGAATTGTCTAGATAAAAATATTAATTATAATTATTCAACATGGGTCTCACCAGAGTGTCGGCGTCCAGGAACACGCATTTCTCGTATTGAGTGAGATTCCAACAATGGATTTTTGTAAAGGTAATCCCAAGCTCGGGACGCTGTAGCAGGGCCAGGTGTGCAGCGTCACCGGAGTCTAATACGTCTACTGTCACGACCTCAGCGAACACGGCATTAAGACGTTCCCTGAAGACAGAACGTATGCAATGGAATATTTTTATAGTTACATTTTCAAGTCTCTCAGTGGATATACTCTGTACTCCAAGCGTCTTACTAAACCTCTTGACTGCGAGTTATTTAATTGCCCCCTCTTTTATTAAGCAGTAAGGCTTTTATATCGCATAGAACTTCGTATAGGTAGTTACAACTCTCTTACCTATCTCTGCCACCAAGCAGTGGTGCGTCTACCGTCGTGATCTGGTTCGAATAGTAAGATAACCAGAAACATCTTATTTGTGTTCGCGTAAATATAAAAAATCATTATTCTTATTTATATTTATTTACTCGTAATACATAGATAGTATGTTAGCTATAGTTATATTCATTAAAATAACAATCTAGGTAATTTCACTTCATGGTCAATACCTTCAGTAGCATCTGCCACCAATTTCAAACAAAATAAGTGTTTAATTTATTGTGGTGAGAAATAATAATTATTTATTTTTATTATTTCTCACCACATTCAATCTCGATTTTGACAAAAACTAGGCACAAAGTAATGTGAGAGACGTGACGCCTAAACTAGGCGACGAACCGTGTGTGTATGTATTTCAGGTCATCAGGTCTCCCTCCCAGTTGACAAATACATAACTGTGTAAGCTTGGAATACATTAGATGCGTTGTCATCCCTGAGGAGTATGACTATCACCTTATAGTCTGTATCTGTTATAATTAAACAACATTACCTTACCCTTTAAACTGGAACATAACAGAAGACTCTGTTGCTAAGCGGCAGAAAACAGAATGACAGGGTTGTTTAACCCAAAAAAGAAATCCTACCACATGAAGTAGCGATAGCCAATGCGATAACATTATGAAATTTGTACTTATTTATTACGTCATAGATCCACGCTGCAGTTGTACACAGCCGCAAAACAAATGAGTCTTGGTAGGATCACGCTCTCATAGAATGCCAGCCTGAAACAGCAGAATAATGCTGCTGTTCGTATGGTGAGTGTAGAGAACCGGAGACCCTGTCTACTGGTAACGAGGCATTCCATCTTAGTCTTCAGTGGTGATCACGCATCTGCATTTAGATCTTTACGCGATGATAGATGTAAATATCTATGGGCTATAGCATCCACTTACCATCAGGTGGACTTTGTGCTTACGAGCACAAACGTGTTACCCGTATTCTATGAAAAATTAATCGAAATGATATCGTAATGAGAACGTATCATCTGTGTATCGAATGTTTAGCTGAATTTGATGTATTGTGTGCGAGAGTACCTCATCGGCTCAGTGACGGAAGGTGTGATAAGAACCACGGCTGGATAGGCAGAGCCAGCGCGACGCAGTGAATGCGCCAGCACTAAGGCTCCAAGACCGTATGAATCGTTTGTGGCTAATGTAACCCATGCTCGACCTGAAAATTAAAAAAAAAATACATATTAACTTTTGACTACCTCTTTCGAGATAATTAATAGAATCGGGCTATCAATGTCTAAAATTGATTTATTAAAGATTTAGCATAAAATCAGCTCACATTAAATGCTAGACTTTTACTGGATAAAAATTTCTAGTTGGTCGTCTTCTATGTAGAAATTCCGTTCGGAACGTAACCGGAGGTCTTCCATCGCTTTGCATTACACATCAAAGGTCCAGTGCTTACTACGCCGACTATACTTGCAGTGCCTTAGCGATGACTCGAGACCACTTCCGACAAACGTTTTCTTTTCTGGTTCACAGCCTCCTTCGAGTTGTGCATGTCGATACGATTGCTGGCAGGGAGAGATCACACACTATCTCATACAGTTGTGTATTCGACAGGCGGCGATGTAACGATCTCGTATTTAAACAATGTGTGAAATACCCAGACGGGCAACGAAAAGCAGTGAAAAAGTGCAAGACATCAGATAAGATGATCATCAACCCGCCAGATAAGCGTGGCGAGTACGGAAATCTTCTCTACTATGAGAGAGGCGCGTGTTCAACGGTGGACCGTAGGCAGTACCGTACGGAGTACTGGACACCACGTCCGGAAAACCGTATATCCGTAATTATTTTTATTAAGACTATCAAAGAGTATACCTAAATATTAATAAAAATATATAAAAAACATAATGTCCGATTGTGGACTATATAAGACATCCTGAAATCTGTATAAGAATTGTCTTAAGGCTAATTAAAAAGTTACTAGTTCATTCATTCATTCATTGTGAAAATATCGTGTATGTTAATTATTCAATGCCTATTCTTTACGATTTGTTATTGTTTTTATTATGTTATTTAAACCTAAGTGGTATACAAAGTACGAATCGAATTTATTTATAAACAACCAGATAGATTCTAAATATAAAAGGCATTATGTGGCTGTGCAATTTCTTTGTTTGCAGGCCGAAATGCAGAAGTGTTTTCATTATAGCTACAACATCATGTGTATTGGATATAGCCACTATCACCGTCATATTAATATATATTTTTATATAAAATGATGTGCCTAGATAATATAAACGTAGTGTTAAATCATAATATGGTAAATAAAAATGGTCATTGGTATTTTTATAACTATTCTATGTGGTGCCACGCAAGTTTTATTTCTTTGCTTTTAAAATTAGTTTTATTATTATTTTTGACGGTTCATGGAATAAAAATAATTTTTCCGGTCTGGGTGTTTGTCATGTGCAATATTTATATGTGAGAAACATGAGAAACTTTAGATGTGAGGGTTTATATACCTGTATACATTTTATACGCATAGATATATATTAATGTCGAGAAAAAAAATTGCAAAACTCTAGTAACTCGTTGCAAATCTATCCGATCTTACCTCAACCTAGGTACCTTACAATGTTAGTTTTCTAGTCAGGTTGTGCTGATAGCTACGTTTTTTTTTTAAGTATTATAAGCCTGTGTTTGGCTACTATCTGACTTGGTCGTAAGTGGTGATGGAGCCGAAGTCCTTGAAGATTTCAGATTCAGATCTATCAGATTATAATTGGATGAAAACTCAAATATTGGTAAATTATTCTACTCCTTTGCTGTACGTAGTATTATGAACGTCGAAGCAAACACTCTGGTTAGACAACAAAGGGAATTTTTATAAAGAATTAAGAATTAAGGAGAAATTAATGTTACAGTCCATAACCCCCTACTGGACCACCTCTTATTTCTAAAAGGGTTTTTAGGGCAAGTTAGTATCCGCCGCACAACCTCAATACGTGTTGTCGAACTTCACATATCTTCGAGATATATTTTTGTTTAAATTTCTCAGATGTACAGGTTTCTTCACGTGGTACCTGAATCAGCACTTAAAATTGCAATTAACAATTTCATTGCCATCGGGATCGAATCAAGGTTGCTCGCGTATACTGTGATATTTATACAGCGAGCACTACCCCTGAGCTACCAAGGCTCCTATAGTAATAATAATAATACGTTCATAGTAATAGAAAATAAAATATTTTTATCGTGGGAAAAATGCATTAAATATTTCTGATCACAAAGATGTATACGAAGATTTTGCTTTTTGTAGCTAATCAGACACATTTATAACGACACGTATAAATTTAATTACACTCCTGCCAGTTGCGAATGACGTGCAAACATTTCGAAAATAACTAGAAATCACCGTTTTGGATGATTACGCTATTCCAGATTCCGTGTTGTGTCTATGTGGTCGCATCGTCACTGTTAGAGAGAAAATGCGCAGTTCTTCCACGCGAACGTGGAAATGCGTAGATGCGCCCACTGATCGTATAAAATTGTGCTGGCACGTGTTCCACTCTACAATTGGCTTCCCTATTGCGTTCGCCTAGAATAGAATATTTTTATACAATATAAATTACAAGTAATACTTATTGAAATTCATTTAGGTTTATACCATCCATCTAGCCATTACAGCCTATAAAAGTCCACTGCTGAACATAGGTCTCTGCCAAAGATTGCCTCAAAGGAGAGATTTGCCACTGGCTTTTGTCCTGGGAAGAAACTGCAAGACCCATCTCTTTTAAATAATAATTTACATTTTAAAAGTAAAAACATTTTGAAACAGCATGGTAGGGATCTGATCACCTCAATCCCAGGAGTTCTTATCGATCGTGTAGTTTTTAATATAATTTTACTTAATTAACACTTTTGTTACAGCTTTTCTTATGGATAGACGGACCCTGCATATTTTCTGGAACTTTCTTGTAAAAGTGTAGGTACCTTATCATCATCATCATCATCATCATTACAGCCCTTCACAAGTCCACTACTGAACATAGGCCTCCCCCAAGGAATGCCACATAGCACGGTCCTGAGCCACCTGCATACATCGACTTCCTGCATGTCTCACCAGATCGTCACTCCATCTAGTGGGGGGTCGCCCTACACTTCACCTACTGGTACGATGCTGCCACTCGAGAACCTTTCTTCCCCATCGGTTGTAGGTGCTTCGAGCTATATGGCCTGCCCACTGCCAATTCAGCTTACTAATCCGTTGGGCTATGTCGGTTACTCTGGTTCTACTGCGGATATCCTCATTTCTAAGTTTATCACGCAGAGACACCGAGCATAGCCCTCTCCATAGCTCGCTGAGCGACCTTGAGCTTCCTCATACGGCCAGCAGTGAAGGACCACGTCTCAGATCCGTAAGTCATCACTGGCAACACGCACTGGTTGTACAATTTCGTTTTCAGGTTTTGAGGTATGTCTAACGAGAAGATGTGTCGTAGTTTCCCGAACGCTGCCCAGCCGAGTTGAATCCGTCGATTGACCTCTCGGTCGAAGTTGGAGTAGTCGGACTATTTGTCCCAGGTAAACATACTCGTCAACAACTTCGAGCTTAGTGCTCCCAACAACTACCGGCATAAGTGTGACATGGACGTTAAACATGATTTTTGTTTTGTCCATGTTCATCTTAAGACCTATCCGTTGGGAGACACTCTTGAGGTCATTGAGCATAGTGCTTAGGTCCTCCAGCGATTCTGCCATAAGGACTATATCGCCGGCAAATCGAAGGTGAGTGATGTACTCGCCATTGATGTTAATACCGTATCTTTTCCAGTCCAGTAGCTTGAAAACGTAATATATGAATACGTAGGTACCTACGTATTCGTATATTTCCACAAGAAGGAATTACTGGCTCTGGACTCGAGTAACTGTAGTATTACCACAGAATATTTTTTTTATTAAATTAAATTACCACAAAATAAGTTAGTAATAGAAGAAGTATTACTAGCTTGTTCTTGTTTCTAGTATTGAAATATGTATAATGTACATCATTATCAATACAAATAAATAAAATTGAAGTCTGTTTGTAATGTCAAAATAACTGCTTTTTATTAAATTTATATGAAACTAGCTGTTGCCCGCGACTTCGCCCGCGCGTAATTTATTACGATTGGATTTCATGGGTTTTAATTTTTTGCGCGGAACCCTAATTCTTTTCCTAAAATAAAAGTAGCCTAAGTTACTTCTTATATAACATCAGCTATCTGCCAGTGAAAATCCGGTCAAAATCTCCGAAATGGGTGGATCGATTTTAAGGGGACTTTCACTGGCAGATAGCTGATGTTATAAGGAGTAACTTAGGCTACTTTCATTTAAGAAAAAGAGCATCGGTTTCGCGCCAAAAAAATAAAAAAACCGGCCAAGTGCGAGTCGGACTTGCGCACCGAGGGTTCCGAACAAATCCGTAGGTATATAAATTTAAAATTATTAAAAATATTTTTATTATATGATGTAACTAAAAATGTATACTTTTCGCAATTTTTCCTTTAGCTGTGCTACAATAGGTTGCTTCGTACCAAATTTTAAGATTCTGAGTTCACGGGAAGTACCCTGTAGGTTTTGATTCCCTTGCGAATGTTGAAAATTTGCGGCATAAACGGCTGTATCTTTTGATTGCGTTGGCTTAGAAGTTTGATTTTTTCACAGCTCCAAGGGACAGTAAACTTGAGTATTTGATATGAATTTCAGAAAGTTCCTTAGAAAAAGGGTCTTGACAGACAGACAGACAGACAGACAGACGGAAAACAAAGTGATCCTATAAGGGTTCAATTTTTCCCTTTTGAGGTACGGAACCCTAAAAACGCCAAATTACACGCGGGCGAAGTCGCGGGGAACAGTTAGTTTTTAAAAAAACTGTTGTGTTTCTATATATATATATATATATATATATATATGTTTAATTTTTTTTGCTAAGTGACTTCTTCAGATTTAGGTTATGAATTGCTGTCTTCTGCAAAATGGTAAACAACTACACATCATCATTATTCATTAATACAGCCCTTCACAAGTCCACTGCTGAACATAGGCCTCGCCTAAGGACCGCCACAAAGCACGGTCATGAGCCACATGCATCAATCGATATCCTACATATTTTTACCAGGTCGTCATTCCATCTAGTGGGGACGTATTACAATTCGCTTACCAGTACGA